GAGAGCCACATGTAGAAAAGATTTTTCGTCTCCCTTCAGCAGAATGCATCCTCAGAATGGCCAAGAGAATGAAACCATAGGAAACCAGGACAATCATGATAGTGACTATCTCAGTAATGCTCGTAAAGTAGGAGACTAGAAGCTGGTTTGTGTGAGGGTCAGAACAAGAAATAGCGAGGACTGGAGGGATGTCACAAAAGAAATATCTAATTTCGTTGGATGCACAGAAGGTGAGGCTAAATGAGGCTCCTGTGTGCACTGAAGCATTCAAAATGCCATAAAGATAGGAAGCAGTGATGCATGGCACATAGACCCTGGGTGGCATTCTAACTGAATACAACAGAGGGTTGTAGATTGCTACATAGCAATCATATGCCATTGCAGCCAAGAGAAAACATTCAGTGGTCCCAAAAGTAACATCAAAAAATATCTGTGCTGCACATCCAAGGAATGAAATAGTGTTATTCTCTGACAGGAAATTGATCAATATTTTTGGGGTGACAACTGAAGAATAACAGGCATCCAAGAATGATAACACACTCAGAAAATAGTACACAGGGTTGTGCAGCTGGGAATCCCTGATGACCAATATAATCAATCCCAGATTTCCTGTGAGAGTGAAAAGACAGATTGCTAGAAATAGCAAAAACAGGAAGACTTGCACATCAAAATCACCTGTGAAGTCCGTCAATATAAGCATGGTAACTTCACTCATATTCTTCACCTGGATCATGCATAAATCTATGTCTGATGGGAACCCTGGCATTTCAGTTTTTATTTATAAGTTCTAAATGCAATATTATCTTTTCTTTAAGATTGGTGCCTGAGCAAACAACTTTGGCCAATCTTATTTTTTTTCTTCTGAAAGACTGGCAAGTGAGCTAACAACTGTGGCCAATCTATTTTTTTCTGCTTTATCTCCCCATATCCACCCTGGTACATAGTTGTATATCTTAGTTGCAGGTACTTCTAGTTGTGGCATGTGGGATGCCACCTCAACACGGCCTGAGGGGTGGTGCCACGGCCATGCCCAGGATCCAAACCAGCGAAGCCCTGGGCCGCTGCAGTGGAGCACAAGAACTTAACCACTCGACCATGGGGCCGGCCCCAGAAATGCAATATTTTTTAAAACAAAACCCACTCAATATAGTCTCTTCTTTTTCTGAGAATGGCATATTGAAATGCCTGGCAGTGAAGAAATAGGCAGTGATGTAGAAGTTGGGTCCAAGTGGATGCATTACCCTGTATGAATAAATTAAAGAAATTATTTCATTCAGTTGTTGGCTAAATTTGTTATGTTTAAAAAACCCAGTTTAGGGGCCAGACCCGTGGCCAAGTGATTAAGTTCACACTCACCACTTTGGTGGCCCAGGTTTTTGCTGGTTCAGATCCTGGGTGCACACATGGCACCACTGTGCGGCCATGCTGAGGCAGTGTCCCACAATGCAGAGCCAGAAGGACCTACAACTAGAATATACAACATTGTACTGGGGCTTCGGGTAGAATAAGAAGAAAAAGAAAGAAGAAGATCTGCAATCGATGTTAACTCAGGTGTCAATCTTTAAAAAAAAAAGCCAATTTACTTGGTTTAATTCTTAGTTTATTTTCTATTAAATTTAGTACATACTGTCTTCATATTACATCATCTTAAAATTCACAAAGATAAATGAATATACCACTCTCATGAGATTAGCCCCAGTGAATCCCAATTTAAATTGGTATCAGGCACCTTAATATTGCGTCTGTGTCATTACATTCTGACTTTGGGCATGTCAGTAAAATAATAGTGTGTTTTGTTGAATTCTTCTGATAATGTTGTCAATGGTAGTTTTCTTATAACCCCTGATACCTCTGATCTTATCTCTAGGGCAAGAAAGTGGTTTATGAATGAAGACATATTTAATTCTCAACTGTGTCCCATTAGAGCAATTGTCCAGTTCACTGTAGGGAATTGAGGAAGGATAGACAAAAAGTATGGGGTTTATTTATTTTCTCCAAGATGTTCTTCAAACATGCATTTCTTTCAACTAATATTTAAGGAAAGTAGAACTGATTGTTTTTACATTTAGCTGATTTCACTTTAAGAGATAGAGACTATAAAGACAGAATATAGATCTTGAATTTTTAACAAATCATGATCATTCTGGAAAACTAAAATCATATCAGTTCCTCAATCCTCATACATTCAGAAAACATAAAGCACCAGATGTCCATGAGAACATGACTTCAGGCACCAAGCTTGAGGAGAAGGAAAACTAAGGCAGGAGCTACCACATGTTGTTAAGTGGCTACTAGAGGGTAGAAATATTGTGTACATTATCCTATGTAATCCTCACAGCAACCTGCAACTAAATCATTCAGAATTCATTTATAGATGAGAAACTGAGGACCAGTCATACCTATATGTTGACCAACCTCACTTAATAAGTTCTTAGTAGAGCCAGCAGTCAGTGCAGGTTTCTCGGTTGCCACATGCTAAGCTATTTCCACTTGACGATACTGCAGACTTATTGTGACCTGCCATAATTCTGAAATGGGTATCCCCTAGAAATAATGCAAGGTAATATCTGCATGTATTTGCATTCTTTTATAAAGCCATCAAGCTTAATTACCACGATATTAAAACAAAACCTGGAAGTGTTTTCTAGATGAATTAGTTAACTAATTAAGCAAATTTAAAATTTATATATATTCTTCCATTGGAAAAAATCTGTGGTCCCCCAATTGCATATAACTATGACTGGCTAATAGTTAATTTTCTCTCCCTTTAATAATTTTCTTAAATTTTAATATAGATATTTATTCCTACTACCTTTATTTTAGATGTTATCTTCCAACAAGGGAAGTAAAGCAAATTTCTGATTTAGAGCTCTGTTGATCAAAATGTTTTGGAAATCTCTCCTATTTGCCCTCCTTTGTTACCTGGAGTTCCCTAGTTCATTTTTTAATTTAATTCTGAGCTAACCAGAAATACCTATCTCAGATTCAAATACTAAAACATACAATAAAGCTTTACATTCAAGGTTATACCTTCTAAAATATTTTGTAAGTGATGAAAAGCTTTCGTCTCACCTGTGGGAATGAACTCCTCACTCAATTAAAGTTTGCTGTGAATTTGAGCACTTGGACTCTAATACAAGCTTCTCAAGTTCTTCTTGGAGTCCACAGAAATTCTCCAAGGAGAAAATACACTAATTATCTTCTGGGATGGAAATATAACAATATGATTTTGGTTTATTCCATAGTAAATGAATGTTTCCAAAACAATAAACTACATAATAAGAAATTATTACATGCATGAAGTTTGGCCTCTGAAATATAATGATTTCACAGTGGAAAAAATTAATAGGACTGCAAAATAAATCTAATGATACAGGACAGACTTCTAGCTCTGTGACCAAATATCTATGTACAATTGGGGTGATGACTTAAATTTTCTGAAACCCACTGGTCTTTCCCAGGGAAATAACCTGTTTACTTGTCTCAAAACCCTATAAATATGTACATAATGAAATAATATGAAGGTATAACCTATCATAGAATTTTTATTTAATAGAGATTACTATACATTTTAAAGTGCTATGCTTCTCATTTTATTAAGAGATACAATTAGACTCATTGAAAGTTTAATAGAGGAGATGAGATGTGAACACATAACTAGGAAGTATGAGGGAGATGGGACAGTATGCAGATGTCTGTAACATTCTATTTAATAGAACCTTAGTTATTAGAGCACTGAATGGGGCAAAGCACAGGGTTTTGAGTTGTAAAGTCTTGTTTCTTCTTGGGGACCCCATATAGAAATCTGTAGATTAGTACCTGGCAATATACTTAAAGAAAGTTTTCAGAAAATTGTTAAAAATGCAGAGATGTCTGAGTACTAAATCCAGAGGCTCTAAATTATTAGTTAGAGGATGTAGGTCTTGAAATCTGAATGTTACAGAAAAGAAAGAAAGAATGAATGAAAGGAAGGAAGAAAAGAAAGTAGCCAAATAGGGAGGGAGGGATTAAGGAAAAAAAGAAAGAAAGAAAAATGATATCTGTAGATACGTCAATTGGGAAACAAAGTATCTATTTAATGAAACACAATCTCAAATGATGTATATGGTCAAAAGTAACTCTAACCATAATTGAAGAAGCATTTATGGAAATATGGATAAGGTTATTCTATGACTTCTATGAAAATGCAAAGGAACTAAGGCAATCAAAACAGTTATGAAAAATTAGAATAGTGTTGAAAGACTCATAAAATTTGATTTAAAGATTGATCAGAAAGCAATAATAATCTGGAGAGTGTGGCATTGATGAAAAGGTAGCCATCTAAATTTACAGAACAGAATACAGTCTTCAGAAATGCATTCATACAACATACTCAATTGATTTTTCACAAAGTTTCTAAGGGAAATCCATAGAGGAAAGACCATCTTTGTTTCTTTTTAATGATGCAGAATATATAGAATAGCCTAATGCCACAACAGACATTCACTCATTCTGTGTACCATATGTAAGACGTGTCTCAAAATGAATCTTAAACCTTAACATAAAAACTGGAGTGACATCAGCAACATGGCAGAGTGAGGTGTTCTCTTTGTCTCTCCACCTTTTGAACTACAACTAATGGACACTCACTGACCAACAGAGGAAACCCAGCAGCACAACAGGGCACCTCAGAGACACACGCAGCTATACATCTGAGGGTGGATGGACTGAACCCCCAGGAAGAGGCAGAGATAAGTGAGCACACACTGCTCTCTCCTTGGTAGCCTTGTGCATGCATACAAATGCTTTCCAATCTGGTGCAAGCACCTGAAAAGTGGGAACATGCAGCAGGGAAATCATAAGAGGAGAAGGTGCTAACCTTTAGCCCACACTCATGGTCCCTTTCCTGGCAGAAAGAAGGAGCCCACCACACCCCTGTGCCATAAAGGAGCAGGATCTGCCTCATCCCAGCAGGGAAGCCCTGCCAGCTCAGTGGCCCCCATGGATTGCAGATGGCAAACAGGGACCTCAGCTGATTTTCACACTTGGGCAAATGCTTCCCAGGCTTGTGCAAGTGCTCATTCTGCAGATGCACTCCCAAAGAGGGAACATGTCCCAGGAAGCTGCTGGAATAAGCCCAGTAGCTTTTAGCCCTCTGGTGATCATTTGCTGGCAGGGAGGAGGAGCTCAGAGCACCCCTGAGGCCCCAAAGAGTGGCCCTTGCCTAGTGAGGAAGGCCTTCCCAACAAGAACAGTCTACACAGATGCCTGAATGAATCCCAGGCTTGGGAAAGCACCCATAAAGGCTTCACAGCTCCCAGCAGATGGGGGTTGGCCAGAAACACTGCTCCTTCTCCCCCATAGCAGTAACACAGGGAATCTGCATCCTAAGAATACCACAAATGCCCTGACAAAAGAATAGTTCATCAAACACTATGAGAAACTTCAGCAACAATTAAGACCAGAAGGAAAATGACAATTCTCCAGAAACCAACACTGAAGACACAGAAATATACAACCTAAATGAAAGATAATTCAAAATAGCCATCATAAGTAAACTCAATGACTTACAAAAAAAACATAAAGACAATTCAGGGAGTTCAGTAATAAAATGAATCTCTTCACCAAAGAGATTCAAACTATAAAAGAAACAAGCATAAATTCTAGATATGAAAAATACAATTAATGAAATAAATAATAATCTAGAATTGCTAATAAATAGAATTTATCTTAGGGAGGAAAGAGTTAGTCTTCTTGAGGATAAAAATGGAGAAATTCTACAGGTGGAGAAGGAGACAGAATAAGATGTTTTAAA